TTAGATAAACAAGAAAACTGTCTCAGAAAATATTAGTTTCCCCCTAACATTTCGATGACACAGCAATAGTGAGTAATCTTCTTTGCATATTTTACTTTTGCATAACAATAGTGGGCCAGCAAATGTCAGCATCTTCTGCATGAGGCGACACTTCCAAGCACCTCAGGCATGCAATACTGAAACAAGAGGTATCTCTTGCTCGTGAACAGTGACTGCTCAAAAAATGAAATGACGGCTACAACAATCTCTTGCACCAAAGATAAATGACATATTCTAAGAACATAATTATAAAGAATAACAATTACTCCTTCTCAAAGAAAACAATTAGAAGCGAAAAGTGATCGAAGGATAAAAAAGGCTAAATCGAGAACAAAATCCAAGCCAACTTTATGGGAAATGCACGGCTAAAATTTCGAAGGAAATTGAGAAAAACTCACCGTGCAGGGATCAATCTCGAAGAACTCTGTAGTGTAAGCCTTCCTCTGGCTCTCCCACGCTTCTCGCATCTGGCTTATACCAGACGAAGCCGCATCTATAGCAACAATCCACGGTCAATATACTGAAACTTATAGTAGAAACAACCACAACCAACAGAAGATAAAAGTCAGAATTTGATACCAATTCCAATAAAGTGACCGATTTGAGCTTCGTCCCACTTATCAGCATCTGCTCCGCCTCCACAATACAAGTCACACACCTTCAGGGAGCAAAGGTCAAGACAAGATACATGAATGGAAGAATTCTTCAAAGCGAGGGAGGCGAAATCAACGCGGGAAAAAAAATAAAAGAGAGAAGGGAATTTATTGGCGCCGGGAGGCCAATACCGTGGCGTAAGGGTGAGCGAAAATCTTGATGAGAGCCAACTTGGCAAAGTCGTAGAGGCGATGAGGAGTAGATTCAGTTCTCGGGCATGCAATTTGACTCATGGTTTGCTTCAGAATTCGGCGTGAAGAGCATCCAGAGCGCCGATTTCAGAAATTCTAACGACGCAGAGCACTATAACCAGAAGGAGGACCACCGTTGGAATCTGGAAGCTGCAACCCAACGCAATTCTAGTTCCATTTTTATTTTTACAGGCCGTACTAACATAACAAATAATAAAATATTTAATTTAAAAAATATAGATACTAAATTAAAAATTAAAAATTGACAACAAATATATAAGTTAATGGAGTTTTCTTACTTTGATTTGAACCCTTCAATATGAAAACAGAATATAAAAGAGATTTACAATATGAACCCACCATGAAAATTTTTTCATCATTTAAGTTAAATAAATCATATATTTCTTTTCTTTCTTTTTTTTGCCAAAGACTACATCATATGTTTCTAGCTCATATAATTAGAGGAATTCGAAAGAAATTAGATGTATTTGTTCATTGAATATGAGAAAAATACATTAATTTATTTATTCATTAGATAAAATACATAGGAGATGGTAAAAGAAAATTATGAGTAAAATAATAAATTCATGCATCTTCAATTTTAGAGAACGAATTATGCACCATGGATCATAATTTAGTGACATAAAGGTCACGGATTTAATCTTAGTCGTAATCTCAAACTGTTAGTATTTGTTCTTTTGATATGTTCATTTTAATTTAACTTATGCTCTGACTAAAACTATGGTGTACAATCACAAAGTTATCCAACTCAATAAAGAAACATGATCATGGAAAATCATTGGTTTGAATCATAAACTATAAATTGGTGGCAAAAGAATGGACATTTAGTCCATTGGTGTGTGTGTGTGTATATATAAAAGCGAATGTTGCACATTTATCGGAAATTATTATATGCAATTAATAATAATGCAGCTATATTGGCTTGTTCATATCCTTCACCTTTGAATGAGAGCAAAAAAACTGGGGAAGCATGACAATCACTGGATGGTACTAAAGATGTTTCAATCCTGCTGCCTTTGCTTCTTACTGTCTTCTCCATCCCATCCATAGGTATATAAGTTATTTCTGTGATACTGTACTCATTAAATAGGTCATGTTTACTGCTCTTGTAATGGTTTTGAGTACACTTATAAATTGTAATTATTTTTACTACTTAAAATCTGTTAAAATCGTCTATTTGTCATTTTGAAACTTAATCTTCTCTTGAGTTTTAACAAAATTACGATTTGAGCCCTATCTTACAATAGCTCTAAGTCTAAAGCTCTATCTATCTTTATAACAATTAATGTGTAAATAATCAAATAATTTGTGGATTTGATTTCAGGGGAAGAGAATAAGGAAGAGTGTAAAGTGAACTGAGATTGTGGTACATATGAGTGGTGCCACTCTATGTGTCCTCCTAGCACCAATACTTGTTACTTTGATCCCCAAATTGGTACCAATCATTATCATTGTTGTCCTCAGCCTCCTTCATTACACTGAAAGGATGTTTAGGTAGAAACAAAACTATAATTTTAAAAGTATTTTTACGGTATATAAAGTAAATATGTGGAAGAGTTTGTTACGATTTGTAAAAAAAAATGCTTTTAAAAAGCACTTTTTGAATTATCCAAACACTCCCCAAGGTTATGTGTTTAAACTTCATAACTTGGAAGAAGACTTTGTCATCCTATATATCCTATTCACTCCGATAAAACAAACTATATTGTATGGTTTGTGATTATTTATACTCTTCTTTTTAAACTGATCAACAATTTAAATTATATAAAATATTATAGGTCATGATCCCAATTTGTAACTTTATAGAATGCCATCAATATTTTCAAGAATTGGATCTCTCAAAATCCAATCAAATTAAACGATAATTTATAATTTAAAATTTGTTTGAGCATTGAGGTGCAACTTATTGTCTAACTTTTATTCAATCATGTACAATATATCTTTAATATTACATGAAAAGAAAAATATTTGTATGTAGCTGGAGATATATTACAACCGAGTTTACGGAATAAATTTTGCAATAGGAGAGTTTTTGGTAATTTTCTCTTCAATAATCACTTGCAACATTAGCCTCTCTCATGGTTCCCCCTTGAACTATTTGTGTCTTCAATTTCAAAACTCATGAAGCAATAGTTAAGACTCAAGATATCTATAATTATTAATATAAAATATAAACATTTATCACAAATCATTAATTTAATTTAAAAGGAAAAAATTTAAATTTTTTTAAAGTTGTTCAAATTCCATTTAAAACGTTAATTGGGGAAAAGAGCCTATCATTCTTCAAATATAAAAGAAGGTAATAATTATATCAAGTTTCTTAACTGAATCAATGAATCAAATTAAAGGGACATGCTTTCATTTTTTTCAATCAATAATACATGCACCTTAGCACATGAATCTTAACCCAAAAAAAAAATGCATGAATCGATTTTGAAATTGTTCATTAAAGTAAACTAATAAATCCTTATTTTTATTCTATTTTAATATTAAATATATAAATTAACCTTGTTAGATTATAGCCCAAAAAAACTTTTCATTAGATCAATATTCGGAAATTATAATTATAATTATAATTATATATGAATTATACAAATCAATTTTGTTGCATTGATTTTTTTCTATCTGCTTCATTCCATCCATTTAATTAGCTCAATAAATGGATGAATAGTATGTAAGAATGAATAAGAATAAAATATTCGTTGAATAAATCTAGGTAAATAAAAGCATTCATATTAAATTTATTCTATCCCACTTTAATTTGACAAGACACCGTTATCAAAATCAACAAAGAAATTAAAGATGCAAATAGGGAGTCACTCGTTTGAATTATATGCTATAAATCGGTTGCAAAAGAATGGTAACAAAAATTTTGGCAAAAAAAAAAAAGAATGGTAATAAAATCAATTAGTACTTAAACAGTAAGATATTATGCATTTTATTGGAAATCAATATACGTGATTAATTAAAAATGCAATTAATTAGTGTATGGCTTTGTTTATAAATTGGTCTGCCCTTTGCTTTGAATGGGCAAAATACATCACAAGATGGCTCTAAAGAAGTCTCAATTCTGCTCCATACTGCTGTTGCTTTTCACTGTCTTCGCCTTCCCACCCACAGGTATATCATAATTTACAGAGCAAATGACTCTTTTAAAAGGAATTGGTAAAATCATCTAAATTTTCTTTTAAATTTACATAATCTTCTTTTAAGAAATGTAAGCCATATAAATCTCCTCTGACAATATTTATTTCAATGAAAAAATGGCATATGAGAAGAATAATTATTTTTGTGCATTTGATTTCAGGACAAGAAGCTAGGAATGAGTGCGCGATGTGAACGAAGATTGTGATGCAAATACGTGCCATTATGGTCCGTTGTACGAAGCATTGAAAATGAGGGATTGGGATTGTGATTGCAATTGAAAAAATCATTAATAGTATTTAGTATGAATAATTATTTGTTATATGGGATTAGGGATACCATAAAGGTGGGATTGGGGAATACCACTTCCCCCCATGGTATTCTCTAATCTCACATACATGGCTTTGGCTAATCCCATATATCAAACAATCTCTTATACTAAACACTCTCTTAATAGATTTTTTCAATTGTAATCCCAATCTCAATCCCTCATTTTCAATGCTTTCTACCAAACATAACCTATATATGTCCTCCTGCAACCAACACATGTTACTATGATCCCAAAACCCAAACCAATCATTGTCGTTGTTGTCCTCAATCTTAATCTTGACCAATGTCCTGCTCATATCTCCCGCCCCCCCCCCCAAAAAAAACTATGTTTAAGCTTCGTCTCTTGGAAGACTTTGTGAAACTAGTACATCCTATTTGCCTCCAATAAAAGTTATTATGATTTATGATTATTCATACCTGTTTTCTTTTCATTAATAAACAATTTAAATTAAATAAAAACATTATAGACCGGTCATGTAAGTTTGGAACTTTGTCCTGTTCACTACAAATGTAGAAATGAGAATGAGATATAAGGAAAAGAAAAGAAAATAAATTTGGATTCAAGAAAAGGTGTTTAAAAAAAAAAAAACATGTTTCCTTTTTAACCTGCTTTAGACCTGGTCACAGGAATAAGACGCCTCCTTTGTTTTCATAGGCAAGCTCCTAGAGATGAAATTTTAAATTGAAAAAATCAATATCAAAAAAATAAAATACATGCTTGGAAGGAAGCATATTGATTTTTCCTTATTGACTCTTTTAATGAACAAGCAATCCTATTTAGTGGGATAAGGTTTATTGTTATTGACTCCATCAATAAACTGATTACAATTCAGGCAAAAAGAAAAAAATAATAATAATAACTTCTTATCGCAATTGCCTAAACTTGAGCTCAGTGACACATGTAGATAAGGCATCCCTCAGTTGGATGTTGTCGGAGTCCATGTAAAGAGCATCTTCGTATAACCTTTTAGCTTGTTGTAGCAATTTCACCTTCTCCTTGCTACTGGATGGCCTCAAGCGAGACCTTTGCTGCAATGCCACACCCCATCTGTACAAAGCTGCAAATTTTAACAAGTTCAAATCAAACTCCTACACAAAAATTATCTAGTAATGCTCTAACTAAACAAAGGAAATGGCTACAAGAATAAGAGCAGTTTGTGTTTGGCATTCAAGTGGAAGATAAACTTGTAATGAAGTTACTGTCTAGTGTCCCTTGGACTAAGATGTGTGTATCTATTTGAGATACCTGAATTAGTCTCCACAATGCAGTTGTTCCCACGAAAAGATGATCTATGTGCTATGTACATTACATCGTCCATTGAGGGCGATATACTTATGTCCCATTTGGTTGTTGCAAATGATTACTGTGGGAGAAGTTTCCTAGGAATCCTAAGCAATTAAAGCAAATGGGACTTTAACCCAATGTTTGGTATGAGAGAAATGGAGGGGAGGGAAGGGAAGAAAAATTTTTAATGAGCTCCATTTAAAATATTAGAGAAGTGGAGTTTTAAAATTTTATAAAAAGAAAATGTAAGATAAAAAAAATTAATAAAAATTAGTTAAAGGCTTTTAACTCCTATTTTTTCAATTTTTCAAATCGAGCTTATTAAGATTTTCCCTCTCCTTCCTCTTCCTCTGTTTTCCTCGTACAAAATGGACCATAAGGGGCCTCATGACAGCAAGAATGGAAATTGAATGGCCCATGGAAAGAACAATACAGATAAGCATTTTACAGTTGAAGAATGATACAATGAAATCCCTTTCTCCTTGTAGATATCAAACAGGGAAACTGTCAGAAAATTACTTTCCAGTTGTAGTTGTATGTCATGAATTCAAATGTAAAGAGGTGTTTGGTTTCCTGTGATCTTGACTCTGTCGTCTCACATAACATGAAACCTAGAATGTTAGGATTGGGAGACAGTGCTCGGTAAGTGACAATAGGGTGGCATCATAATAAGGACTTTTGATATCATATGCTAGGCAGAAAGGTGTAGAGTGTAGACAATTCCAAAATTTTAAGTACACGGAAATATTACCATCAGGAGCATAAACATTGCCTTTGGACAACATCGCATTAAATTTGTCAATTGCAGCTAAGAACACTCGGTCAGCCTCGTATGCTGCAGCCTGCAATATATGAAAAGAAATCAATTAAATTTAGAAACTAAGCATTAGGAGAAAAATTCAGCACGTCAAAATGGTAGAATTTCTTATGCCAGCCAAGGGCAAAATGACAAGATCTATTATATCAGAGTCTAACTAACGAATCATTTCTAGACCCAATTTAGCTATTCACTAAGCTTTACATAAGTCGTTGGCCAAAAAAACCAAAAAACTTTACTCAAGTCACTGTGTCTAAGTGGGGTTACGCATGATGAAAGTTAATAATACAAGACTGAATATAGTTCTCATACAACGTTTCCAGGAAACGATCAGAGAACTCTCAGTTGAATAACTGAATCATAAAATGTCATGATAGCGACTAAAGTGCATACCGGTCCAATATCTGATATCAATTGCCCACGGAAAAACAAAGCAAGACCCCAATTATACAGGGCTCTCACATCATTCCCATCAATTGACAATGCCAGCTTATATTTTCTGCCTGCCTCTATAAGTAGTTCCTCACACTCCTCACATATATCAATTAACGTAGGTGCAAGATTTTCTTTACTGGTGATTTTGTTTTGCAGTCTATTCAGTATTCTACTTTGTTTTCCGGATGATGAAGTGATGCTTCCGGAAAGAAGCATTCTAAGGTCGCGACTACTCTTTAACTTTAATTCTCCATGGAGAAGATATGTATTCCCTAGCTGGCCTACAGCCAATAAACTCATAGGCTTTAAGCCTACAGCTCTGGAAAGTAACTTGGCAGACTTATACAACATGATTTCAGCTTGATCTTCCTCACACCTACCCTTCATACACTCTTTGGCTTGCTTTAAAAGGTCTGTTGCTTCAGCAAGATACCCATCAAACACAATATCATTAGAAATCTTTGAAGACGAAGAGACATTCAATTCACTCTCATGCGTAAACAAGTCATTGGAAACATTGCAGTGATTATCGCTGCTCTCCCCGTTTTTTGTATATGGAGACCCATATGTTCCATATTCTCCCTTCTTATGAGAAGCCTTGTGAGTTTCATGAGCACTGTTGATCATCTGCTCATGCACAAAGGAAGATTCACTTTCCGTGCATTCAGAATCGAGCAGATTATCACGAGGTTCCCATATATCTCTAATGCTGCTGGAATTGAACTTCACAGAAAAGCTATGACTATCTGAGAATTGCAAGCTATTGTTCTGGCGGTGCCTGTATTCTTTTTTGTCAGGGAATCTTTTGGCGCTCCTGTCCTGACCATCGGAATCCAAAATTTCTTTCTCACAACTTGCATTTGTACTGCCTTTTCCTTCAGCTCCCAAATCGGACATACTCAAAGAATCATGAGACGAATCCAAATTGCCATATGTTTTATGCTCATGAACTGAATTTAAAGACTCACCTTTAACAAGAGGAGTACTATTATTCCCTCGAGTTTGTGAAAATTCTTTATTAGTTGTCTCCTGTGTGACATTTTCTCTAACTTTGGTTGAATTGGAGGTTAGCGAATTCTCTCCAATCAAATTACCAATAGACTGTAGCATCCAGTACCCAATTTCACCAACTTCTTTCTTTCTTCGAGCAGGCTTGTGTTTCCCAACCAAAACACCACTAGAATGTTCCTCACTTTCGATTAAATTAGTGACAATATTCCTAGCATTTAATGCTGATAGCCTGATGGAATCTGTAACTTTAACATAACCATCCAAATCTGCCACTTTAATTTTATTATTTCTGACAGCTCTTTGCACATCACTCTTCAAGTTATTAACTTGAGTATCAAGTTCATCAAAAAATTTCACCAAGCTCCTCAATTTCTCAGCAGACAAGTTCAAATTTTCGTCCTTTACCCGTTCCTTACTTCTATTTGTCCTTACATCATCAAAACTGAAGGCTACATCACGAAAAAACCCTACAGTAAAACCAGTGGCAAAAACCAACACAGAAGCCGGAAGCAGAATTATGGACGAAACCTTAACCCTAGAAATTGCCAGTGCACACACGAGGCCCAACAGGAAAACGAAAATGTTCTTCCTATCATCAAGTCCCACAGAATTGAGAAAATTACGAAGCACATCCGACTCACCGTTTCCCTCCGATGCACTAGCGATTTCCAGATCATCCCATCCGCCGTAAACAGCAGAGTTAGGAGCACAAGAAGCTCTTAAGGAACAAAATCTGGGAAATTTAGAGCCATGAGTGCATTTTCTACCAGAGAATAGGAGAAAACTATGGTTTCTTAGAGAAATCGAAGGAAGAAAATAGAGAGCAGCTGAAGATGATGACCGAGAGTTCAAGAGATTAATGGGACTTTTGACTAGAACGGTTTTCATCGAAGAATGCAGATAAAGACCACAGATTTTCGCGGCCACAGCCGCAATAGGAATGTTGGTGATCAGTTTGGTCTCGTCCTCGTTCGCATCCCATGCCCAAAGAGCTGTCCGATACTCATCGGATATATTCCCGTTACAGTGTTATAGATTACTTAAGCGACAGCGTTTTGACGAGTGATCTTAGCCGTTCGATGGAAGGCGAAGGATCCTATCCGTTCTAAACATCAAAACTCCCAGAAGAAGCGTTATAAATAAATAAAAATTCACTATCTTCTATCTTTAATATAAGATTTTATTTGATTTTATTGTCTTAAATATAATATTTTAATTTATTTTATCTTCCGTATTTATTTATTTTTTTAAAAATAATCATTCTAATAATAGTAGTTCTAATTAATAAACTTGATTAGTAAGAATATTTTAAGAAAAACAACACCTATTTATTATAAATAACTGATTTAACTTATTTAATTAATCTATTTAAATTAGCCAGTTAATTCTTATTTAAGACTAAAGGTAGTATCTTTAGGAAAGAAAAAGTTAGAATCTTATCCAACAAAAGAGAGAAACGCTTATATGGAGGTTGTTTTGTGTATAAATCTTCAAGAACTGAGCAGCAGTTTTGACAAAATTGGCTGATCCAAGAGATCCAAACAGATCGATGTGATTATCCCCTTCCTGTGCTCCTGCTAAATCCGACAGACCTCTTATCACTATCACCGCATAATCATTCGACAAGCTTGTCTGCAAAAACAAATCCAATCATCATCACTATCAAATCCATCTGCGTGTGAAATTAACTACTGAAAAAAGAGTATATAGGAGTGAATATATATATATATATATATCGGTGTTTAATATAAAACCTACTTAACTAATTTAGAAAGATTAAAAAAATTAATTAAGTTAGTTATTTGTAAGAAATAGGTGTTGTATTTCTTAGAATACCCTTGCTAATCATGTATATTAGCTAGAACTACCATTTAAAAGAATATTTAATATATGTAACTACTACAAGGACTACCTTGAAAAAAATAAATAAATATAAGAGACAAAGTGGATTAGAATCTTATATTTAAGACTAAATTAAAATTCAAACAAACTCTTATATTAAGAATATGAGGTAGCATGACGAAAGAAATTAAATATGAGGCGAAAGGCTTATGCGTACCAGTCCAACCCCACATCTGACATAGATAGCTTTGCCATCGGGCACCTTTCCCGCCCTGAATCTTCTTACTGCATCATTTTATATTCATACAAACATCCAATATACTCATTCTTCTCTCATATGTGTGTGTATATACATGTATAATGTTGTAATTCAGAACTTGAAACTATGTATTATATGATCACTTTATTATTCGACCTGCAAGATCCACGAAGGGATGTTTGGGATGAGATTTGAAGGCTTTGGTGGCGAAGAAGGCATTCTCTTCTGGTGCATACACTGCGATGAGCCCCACGCACGGCATGTTCCGGTTTATCTCTTTGATCACGTATTTCAATTAGTATTAATATTCCTAATAACGATGGTGACAATTGACCACGTTTTACTATTCTTACTCATTCTCTGAAATTTTCTCCTAAAAAGTATTTACAAATAAGAGATTCTCTTCCAACCTTGTGTGTGTGTATCAAACTTCACTATTTATGAGCTATATTTGAATTATACCACTTATTTTATAAGTACAATTTTTTTATCTGCATAATAGTTAATATTATTTACAGTCTATGTAATTATAGTGTGATCTTATGGATGGCATAAACTAATGTTTTAAATTTGTTGTTGATGGCACTATTATTGAAGTTTTACCAATTAATTACAATGATAACGTACTGAATTATGAACGAAATTTGAACAAGAAATTAAGGGGCAAAACGAAAATCATGAATAATTAGTAATCCGCAGACAGAGGAACCAATCAAGAATTTAGGAAACAACACGATTTTTTTTTAATGACGTGTTAATTAATTGAAAAAGCAATTAACTGGAATGGAGGTTGTTTTGTTGCTGAGAAATCTTCAAGAATTGAATAACAGCTTTGGCAGTGTTGGTAGCTGCAAGAGGTCCAAACAGCTTGATGTGGTTATCTCCTTGCTGTGCTCCTGCTAAGTCCGACAGACCTCTTATCACTATCACCGCATAATCATTCGACAAGCTTGTCTGCAAAAATCCAACCATATCATTCCCTATCAAATCCATGTGTTTGTGAACGAAGCAAACCAAAGAGAAAGCAATCTACTCTTTCCCATGTTTTAACATAAGAGCTACATATGTTAACTAATTTGGGGTAGATTAAAAGTTACAAGTAAATTAGTTAATGTGAAATGATCTGCAAAAAATATTCCTATATAATTATACCCTGTTGGTCTCATTTAGATGGCATTTCTAGTGTGTTTCAAAATATAACAACTTTTTAACTTTACTCTATTTAATATATACGATTTTTCAAAAAAAAAAAAAAATAACAATCTACACTATAATAAATAAAAGACAAGATAATATATTTACGCTATGACGAAATAAAATAAATAAAGGACAAGATAATACATTTACGCTATGACCAAATAAAATCTTTTCTCTCTTCCTTATAACTAGAATTGGATATCAATTTATAAGTTAAATAAATTACTTTTGACAAAAAAATGATAAATATAAGCAATTAAATAGATTATAGTCTTATATTTAGAGTAAAATCTAAATCCTAACCGGTTCTTGTATTTAGAATAAGAGATAGTATATAATGGATATGTTACCATGACGATGGCAGAACTCTCCATATCAAGAGAGGAGACGTGAAATGTGTTGAAGAGGAAGTCCCTGTAAGCTGCATTGTCCACGAAAGCGTCTGCTGTTGAGCCGTTGAGTCCCACAACCAGCTTTGGTTCCGTTTCTAAGCACAGGCTTGCGTTCACACATCTCTCTAGTTTCATTCCCTAAATATATACATATAAATGTTGGAACTTGTATTAATTTAAGACGACCATATATATGTGTGCGTGTGTGTGCAAGTGTGTCTATGTGATGATGAATTAATGAATCACCTGTAGTTTTTGGGAAGCAAGGTGAAGCCAGTGAGGAGTGGTGGGGAACCAGATCAAACGTTGGGGTTGGTTGGGTTTGCCAGTTTCAGAGTAGAACTGCTCTGTGAAGTATCCTATTTTGCCCAGCACGTTCATTCCTTTGCCTTTGCCTTTCACGTTGTACTCTCCTATGTCCATTTCCCCAAAGTCACTTGAATCTACTGTCGCATTCGGCTTCTGTTATGTATATATGTGTTCCCACATATCGTGCAACAACAAACATGTACAAGTTAATGTGTACCTCTTCAAATCATTCCCTTCTAATTTCACCCAAAACAACAACAACAACAAGTATTATTTCATTAGAAACCAGTTTTGGTGCTCATTAGTTTTTACCGAACATTATGGTGCTCATCACTGTGATGAGTATCGAAATTGATTCCATTCCATTACATGGAGTTGATTATACATATTGCATTATGCAATAGCTGGACTGAATCGGACCGGATTAGTAGTCATCAGCCTAAACATATGTGTATGTATATGTATATGTATATGTATATGATTGGAGTGAGTGATTGAAATTTGTAAATCAAGAGGCTGGGGAAATTGAAGAAAAGTGAAGTGGGTGGAACATACCAGCCAATCCCAGAGACCAGTTTGGACAAATTGTTTGGGGATGACGACATCTCCAATGGACATGGAACTGTTGGCGTTGCCAGCAATCCCAAAATGAACAATCCCACTTATCTCAAACACATCTACCATCTGTTGTGTGGTTGCTGCTGCATTCACCTGTTTAAACAATCACTTCATACTCATGGTATCCTCTCCATATATAACCAAGGAAGCACACTTCCTTTCCTTTTTTCCTTCTCAAAATTTCCCATGGTTCATGTTTAATATTAGGAGAATTACTATGAGGTCTCAAGGGGAAACAGTAGCTACCAAAAGGTCCAATAACAATAAGTGAGAAATTATCATTTCCTACACTAAAATTTATCATTATATTACAGGCTACTTTGTTGTTATTGGAGCTTTTGAGTAATTATGTTTATTTCTTGGGATTTTATAACAATAATTCTCCTTTTAACATCTTATGAATTAATTTCTTTTATTTTTTCTATAATGCAGTTATGAGCCGTGCTAGTCAAATTTTAATTTACTTATTTATGTTTGTAATAATAATTTTATAAAATATTAATCATAACCAGTTGCTAATTATTTTGATTTATGGGAGAATATGAAATTTTCAAAAGAAGAGAAGAAAGAGAGGATTTGAAGCCCATAATCAGCGCGAGTCTGAAGTCTGTGATTACATTTGTCTCCACCTATCTGTGTGGGATCCTCGATTTCTATGGCTTTGTCTTAAATTATATGTACAGAGTATATCATAATTATTATATCTACAATTCAAAAAAAATATTCGTATTTATTTTCAGGTACGTTTCAATGAGTAACTAGAAGACAAGAATTTTTTTTACCCTTTCCCATTCAGATACCATGAACCAACCGCGTTTGGCTTCTCTCCGCTGCCTCCCTTTTTCTGCTTCCCTCTCCCAAAACTACGTCGTTTTGGTGGGAAATGGGGTTCAACATTTTTTTAATATAAGATTATTTTAAAGTATTTTCAATAACACCCAATCATTTAAAATAATTTTTTTATACACTCAACACCGTAAAATTTTTTTTTCAGTAATCAAAAATACACTCAGCACTTAGTGTCATCGGAACCCAGAATTATTTTAGGATACTACGAGAAAAATGTTTTAGGGTGCTTACTATAGAAAAATTATTTTAAGATTCTTGGTGCTCCTAAAAGAAATATTTAAGAGTGTTGAGTATATCTTTACGATATTGAGTATTATTGAAAAATAATTTATGGTACTGACAAAAATTATTTTAAGATGTTCTTAAGAAATAATTTAAAGTGCTGACTATAATTTAGAATAGGATATTGACTGCTACTAAAAAAATATTTTAGTGTGTTGAGTATGCCAACAACTATTTTAGGATATTGGATACCCCTAAAAAAAAATTTGAGGGTGTTGAGTGTATTTTAAGATATCAGATGTTATTAGAAAAATATTTTAGGATATTTAATATATCAACAAAATTATTTTAAAATATTGGATGCTCTTAAAAAAAAATATTTTAAGATGTGGAGTATTACTGGAAAAATATCACAAATCCCCCCACCCAAAACTACACAGAAACTGTCACAAAAGGAGGGAAAAAAAGAAAAAAACTACATGGAAAACGACGTAGTTATGAATACAGGAGGGCAGCGAAGAGAAGCCAAACGCGAACGAACTACACGCACAAACCACATTAGTTTGTCGGGCGACACACTAACACATGAGAATGAAAAAGATAAGTACCAGTCCAATCCCACATCTGACGTAGATGACTTTGCTACCCTCCACCTCTCCCACCCTGTACCTTCTCCCTGCATATGCTCATCACATGTCAACCACTAACACCAAACATTGGAACTGGAATCAAAACCACAACCTTAAATCAACTACTAACACCAAACATTAGGGGGTGTTTGAGAAACCCAAAACCATGGTTTCAGAAGCACTTTTCCGTAAAACAAGGTAATCTCCTCTACATATTTATTTCGTAATCCGTAAAAGCACTTCTGAAACCATGGTTTGGTTTTTATCCAAACACCCCCTAAAACTGGAATCAAAACCACAACCTTAGATAAGTTTTGGCCATAAGGCTGTTGACACGCTCATTTTTCTCTTATATGCACACACACACACAAATATATAGATAATCTTGTGATTCGAGGCTTGAAACTATGTATCAGTTTATTATGTGACCTGCGAGATCCACGAAGGGGTGCTTGGGATGAGATTTGAAAGCCTTGGAGGCGAAGAAGGCATTTTCTTCTGGGGCATACACTGTGATGAGCCCCACGTACGGCCCGTTCCGGTTTATCTCTTTGATCGTCGCTGACTTTCTCGATCTCGCCAGTGAACCACAAGTGGAAGAGACAAGAATGGCGAACAAGAAAAGCACAGCCAAACACTGCCTTACGAGTGTCGTCGCCGGGGCAGCCATGGCCGTTCAATTATTGAGCTCACCCAAAGTAGCCGGCTTCCCTCCCCATCTATTTTGGCGTTCTTTTATAATTACGGTCCTACTCTTTAATTAATTTATCTCGATATATAATATTATTTTACTTTCATTCTTTACTAATTTGTTTGTTGTCATTACATGCTTGTTGGGATTCAATTATTGACCACATGTTGCACGTTTTTCCATATATTTGAGCTTTTCTTGAGATTCGATATATCGTGCACGTACCCACTTGTTCATAAACCAATATCTGAGGAATTACAATCAAGTCCCACAAAAAAGAAATAATTACTAAAAATTTCTAATAACAACCTCAACAATCTATAATGACAAGTCCTATAGTGAGAATGACAACTTGTAGGACTTATTTTTCAATTATTTTTCTTGCTTGGGACCTCATTATAATTCTCCTATCTTTTTAAGCAAGCTGCTGTGTCCTACAGTATGAATAAAATTAAATTTTAAATTTTAATGTTAGGTGTTTCCACAAGCATGGATCCTTGCAATAATCACAAGTAAAGATAATATTGTTGTCTTTGGTGGAAGAGATTATAGATACTTCAACCATGCTTGCCTACGATTCGATGCCATAGAATATCAGATATCATATAAAAATGAACATAAAATTGACTTAAGTTATAGGTCGAATCAGCAGATTGTCTTAATAACAACACCACCCGTCATATATGAATGAGGTCTCGTACTTGAAGCTTACTAACCTCATCATGTTTAGATGTGGTCGTAGACTCGAAACTTAAGATTGACATATTGACATGTGTAAATGTATTTAATTGTACAAAATCTAATTTAAACCATGCCGCCCCAACTATTCATCATTGTATAGTATCCAAACTATATAAGTTTCAAAGTTTCACCATAGATTTTCTAAGTAAAATTAATGCATGTTTTTGAAAATACTCCTGATGAAAAAAATCTAAATTATATACTTTTGATGTTTTAAAAATGCACTCTTTGCTATGATGATATATAATTGAGGGAAGATAGAATGAAAAGCAAAAACTGATTTTAAAGTGATATGTTTTTACCTTTTTTTTTTGTTTATCAACGTAGGTGTGTTTATTAATATTATATTAAGTGATATGGAGGAAGTACTATATAAAGAGAAAACTATTTGTTACTGTTCCAAAGCTTTTACTTCTCTATAACTTGGTGAGGGAAACATGTCTCTCATGAAGGATAAAAGAAAAGCCAAAAATTTGGACCTACACTGACAAAGGAAATATATTATAACTAACAATTTTGAATATCATAAATGTTTCAGTATATTTTGCTTTAATGTACATGTGCAGCATAAATGACAGAGGCAACCGCCCTCGTGACTTAAGTGACACAAACAATAATATCTGACATCTTTCCCACATATGGTCACATGGATTTTTTTTTTTGGCCAAAATATGGTCACATGGATCAACTAAAGTTTATTTTGATCATTAATATCAATCCTATGAAATTATATAATTATTCCTTTTTTTTTTGGTAAAATGTTCTTACCAGATTCAAAAAAACAGTTGTAGGTTATTATATCAGTCAATAGTAAATTACAAAGGATCAGTGTCTACCTTTAAAAATTTCACACTAACTTTTCACTTATAGGTAAAAAAATTTGCAACTGATTTTCCAAATTTTACCATAAAAGAATTTAACTTATACATATCAGTATAAGAATTTCATGTTGAGTTTTCAAAATTTGACACTAGCAAATCACAATTTGTCATTAATTTTCCAACTATTAATATATAATATTGGGAAACTTGACGCAAATACAGCACTCGACGCTCATATTTTGCAATTTACCATTGACTGTATAACAAAATGCAATTGATCTTTGAAAATTTAAGGAAAAACAAATTTGTTAGTCCTTACAGTCTCATGATTTTTAATCAGGTTTTTGTAAATTTTCTTTATATTAAGTACTTATAGTTTTCTCAATTATAAATAATAGTCATCATGCTCATAATCTATTAATTACAATTGTGGATGCTGGCATATGTAGGTTGTCACAAATTAAAAATAAATAATTTTTTTAAGAAAAAAATGATGGGATAAAATTTATTTATTATCTTGCATCTATATTTGCTGATACAAAAGAAAGAACAATAAGATTAAAATTAAAGTGATGTAAGAAGCAAAGCATTGTTGGAAGAAGTTATAAAAATGAAATGTAATGATGGAGTGAGAAAGGCAAAATGTTGAGAAGGCGAAGCAAAACTGTGACTGCATTGGTAGCAGCAAGAGCTCCAAATGTGCTAATGGCTTCTTCTCCACTCTTTCCCACCATATCTGATATCCCTCTTATCACTACCACAGGAATCCCATTCGACAAGCTTGTCTGCAATCAAACACATTCATTATATTCTCCAATAATTATATACCACCTTTAATCCTTAATATAAAACCCAACTAATTAATTTGAAGATATTAAGAAAATTAATAAAGTATTTTAAAGTATTTATATTCACCGACAATTATATAGATTAGAGGGTGTGTTTGGAAGCAACTGTAATATTGCTCCTATGTAAGGTCACAGGTTCAAATCCTAAAAATAGCTTCTTTGCTTACTTGCAAGACTAAGTACATCCATCCCTTTCTAGACCCTCTACTTGGTAGGAGTCTTGTGCACTATTACATTATATATATACACCCACTACCTCCGGTACTTAATATAAGACCTTGTTTGACTTTTATTTTGGTCTTAAATATAAAATCCCAATCTATTTTATCTCTCATATCTGTACTTTTTTCCAAGGTAATCATTTTCATAATGATAATTCTAGCCAATACATTTGATCAGCAAGTATATTTTAGGAAAGACTACAAATATTAATTACAAATAACTAACTTAACTTATTTTTAATCTCTTCAAATTAGTCAATTAGCTTTATATTTAGAATTGGAGGTAGTATATATATATTCCCTCACACCAAATATATGCATGTGTTTGAAAAGTTTACATATGTATGTATATGCATGAAGATTGAGGTGGATGAAAGTGGTGAAGAATACTGACCATGACTATGGCGAAACTCTCCATATCAACAGAAGAAACTTGAAATGTTTGGAACAGGAAATCTCTGTAAGCTTCATTGTCGACATATATGTCGGCTGATGTGCCATTCACACCAACCACTAACTTGGTACTATGCGGAAGACAAAAGCTCGAGTTTATACAACGTTCTAGTTGTATCCCCTGTCACAAATTACACTATCAGCTTCTCACTTCCGTATACATCTGTTATCAAGAGGGTTGAAAAGGGTAATGAGACTTATAAAGGTAGTATTTTACAAATACATAGTAATCCTTCTAGTCCTAAATGTAAGAATTTGTATAAAGGGGTTTGTTTTGGTTATAAATATAAGATCTCAGTTTACTCCAAGTTTATTGTTTTTTCACCCTAAGCTCCCCATATTGATCACACATATTAGTGGAGTTTCCCATCAAATGAGTACTTTCTAACATAAATGATTAAAAAGAGTATTTTAGGAAAATAACACATATTTTTTACATATAACTAACTTAACTAATTAATTTAATTTATATAAATTAGTTATCTAGCTCTTGTATTTAGGAAATTTGGACTGGCATCCTTATGGTTTATTGGTGCATATATGGCCAAGTTCTTAATAGTGAGTAGCATCATGTTTTGTTCTAACCTCCAAAGTAGCAGCAAGTTGAAGCCACTGAGAAGTAACTTTAGCCCAGATCAAACGCTGTGCTAATTAAGTTGGGTTTTCCAGTGACAGAAAAGAATTCTTCAGAACTGTAGCCAACAGTCCCAACAAATTGTTACCTCTTGGAACATCGAAGTTACTAAAATCCAAGTGAGCAAAGTCACTACTTTCAAGTGTCCCATTCGGCTTCTGCCATTATCAAACACAAACCATAAATTCAAGACTCAAGAGTTTCTTTAGTACTATTTGCAAGCGTTAGGTACTTGAAAAATTGACAAGTTTTACAGAAAGAAAATTGAAGTACCAGCCAGTCCCATAGGCCAGGATGAACAAACTGTTGGGAATGGTGACATCTCCAAAGGAAATGGAGTCATTTGCACTTCCAGCAATTCCAAAATGCAGAATCCCAATTATGTCTAACACATCAATCATTTGTTGTGCCACTGCTGCTGCGTTCAGCTGTAATGGAGACAACACGAACCTCATTTTTTTTATCTCAAAAATATTCCAAGACCACAATGAGAAAAAGAAACTCGAATCCCCATCAAAAATGATTTTGAAGAATAGATTTTCTCAAAAGCTCATCAATCCAACTTCTCCTCAAACCATGGTTAATTTCTAGTTCATTAATCACTCGTTGACTTTTTTTTTCTTAGTGTGTGGATGAAATCACACAAAACCTTGGTTTATGCTTAATATTGCAAGAATTACTATGAAATCTCAAGAGAAAACAATAACTACCAAAAAGTCCAACGACAACCATTGAGAAGTTATTATTTTCTTATTGAAGCTTTTGAGTAATTATGTTTATTCCTCGGAATTTTATAGCAATAATTCTCCTTTTAATATCTTATAAATTAACTTTTCTTTTTTTTTTTATAATGCAGTTATGGACCGTGCTAGTCAAATTTTAATACTTTAAATTTACTTATTTATGTTTATAATAATCATTTTATAAAATATTAAATATCAACCAGTTATTAATTATTTTGATTTAAGGGAGAATATGAAATTTTCGAAAGTAAGAGAAAAAAGAGAGGACTTGAAGCCCACAAGGCCACAATCAACACAAGTCTGAAGTCTGCGATTATACATAAGGTATAATATATACTAAATAGAGATAAAGTTGGAAAGTTGTTAAATTTTAAATGAGAATTAATGAAGTTAAAATTTTTTTTTGTCTATACTAAAAGTGACTTATAAATAGGACCAAAGAAATATTTTGCAGCTTGTGCAAAGAATGAGATGGTACGCGGTGAAATGATTGTTAAAGCACCATCTTGTTTTCAGCAAATTCTGGACTCTGATACTTTAAATTCGGGTGTTAA